GCTTAGTGGAGAGGTGTATTTACGTACCCTCTCGATGTAGCTAGCTACAATGTTTGCCACTAAAATTCTCTAGGTTGGAGCTATATCGTAGTAAGATGCAACACGAAAAAACCCTCTTTAATGGAGTGCCTCTTATGAGACCAGCTCCCCATCTTTAGTCTAGTCCTTTATTGCTTCTTCCTTATTCAGATGATTCTTTTGTCATGCGATAGCCACATGGGATCATTGTATCAATATCAGTACAGATAACGAATGAAAAGCACTAAAGTGCAAACCCTCGGTGAACTGCGCATGCGCAGTACCGCTAATTGATGGGCTGGGCTATTTGTAGTAATGCATTTACTCGCGGAGTAGCTCGCGAAGAGTCTGACACGGGCTACCTACAGTAGTAGATAGCATGCGGGAGTCAAATAAACGCCCTTCGTTGTGCCTTCTTGTGCCTCCAAGGTACACAGAGCAAGCGGACCCGGTCGAGGTAAGCCTGTGCTAATTTGCATATTGGCTTGTTCACTTGGTTTTCATGCCATAACTTCTGAACGCGGCACTTTTACAAAATTCGGCATTTTAAAAATGAAGCGGGTGTAGCGCTGAACCCGTTGATGTCGCTATTTTCCCTGTTTGTCGCACGTGGTGGCAGAAAACGTGGACGGACGGACAGACAGACGGACAGACGGACACAGACGGACAGAACAAGTACTGTAACCCTCGCTGCGCATGCGCGCCGAGGGTTAATAACCTTATGTGGATAGTATGACTAAGACATGGCAGTAGCATCTTAGTTTCCGATGTTGTGCAAACGTTCGGCAGTAATAGATAAGCACCATGTATACACCTTGTCTTCAAAGATAATGTTTTTTCCAGGTTTCAAAACATAATTCTCATGATGCAGCACTTGGGGATAGGAGGTGCTTGAACCAGCACACTTCACGGGAGAGAGTGCAGGGGCAAAGATTCAATAGCATTCGTAGTGATTGTGTATAACACGCGCCCCTTCTAGCCATGATATATAAAACACTGGGAAGAGGGTAAACTGATAATGACAATGCATAAATTAACTCATGTGCCCTGTTGCAAATGATAATAGGTCGGGAACTGGAGGAAAAAAGAACTACGTACACTACGCACACCAGGCAAAATGCGTTCATGTAGCTACATAGTAACACCCCAATTATGAGCTTTCGGTGCAGCAATTGTACCGCTCTAGCACGACCTATTTACCTGCAAGTAAGAATATCCTTTTTTAATGAAATGAAGGGGTGTTTGTATGCCGCGTCTTGAATAAGAATAATACTCAGGTGGCTGCCATAGCACTAGGGCCATAGACCACGCACCCAGAGCAATGGGCGGAACCGTTAACACACGAACATACACCATATGAACATGAGGTGTCTGTCTCACCTCCCAGACACCTCAACTCACCCCTTCCACCAGCGACACCCTGCAGCTCCCCAGACGCAATCTGAGACTGGGTTTGTTGTACGCGGGGACTATCGCCGTATAACCTAACCTTTCTTAGCTCCCAAACATCCAAAATAAAATCTTTAACAAGGCCAAGCAAAGAACCAAAATTATCCTCCCACAGTTCACTACCCAATATAAAGGATGCTTTCCTGAAACTATCAAGCGACTGGAAATGCTCAAACCCATCATCCCCAAGCTTCTCCTGCAGGGCAACTAAGAAATTGCTCCTAAGACTACTATATGCTGGACACTCCCACAACACATGACTCACACTTTCACACTCATCATCACACAACAGGCACTCTTTCACCCCCTCCCTCCCCCTATGCCTGCCCAGTTCCTCATTTAGCCCATGTGTGCCTGACCTGAACTTAAACATTAATATAGACCCAGCATCACGTTTCCAATGCAAGTACTTTTTGAACTCTACCACCTTGTTAAATGTCTTATACAATAACAGCTTTACTTTGCTATTTAGCCCCTCTTCAAACTTTCTAATCTCCCTCTCATTGCCGTGTCTTGAAAAAGAAAAGGAACAAGAAGATGCCTACACCGAGACAGAAGGTCATTCGTAATAATATTCCTTGCATCTTTTTGTTACTAGTTGCTGGTCTTAAATGCATGAGCATAATAATCGATATCTATGTGGTTATAAATGCCTTTCTGTCTCAGTATAGGTCTCTTCTTGTTCCTCTCATTTGACACCAATTCATCATTAGTAGAGCAGTGGTCATAACTGTTTCTGTGTTACTTCGTGTAATTACAATTATGTTGCAGTATAATGTGTAATCAAGCATGCGTACTGTCGAACATTCTCGTCATGCAAAAAGACCTTTGTGACTAGGAGGATCCGTAACTTCAAGTTAACTCTAATACACTAGTCAAAAAACTTTGACAAAATATATTCAAACGTTTCGGTGACTATGCAGTCACCATCATCAGTGAACAGTACAAACCAGAAAAATTCAGCAGTATAATTATTATAAAGGCAAATGTATAGCAACCTTGGAATGTGTGAACAGGGAGATCGAGGGATAATTTACTGTGGAGATCGAGAATGACGGTTGCCTCCCCTTCTTGGACATCAAAATTGAACGTTCTCCGGTTGGCTCTTTATCTACTTCCGTGTTCAGGAAATCAACACACACTGACCAGTACCTCAATTTTGCCTCCCACCACCCTTTATCCCACAAGAGGGCTGTTGTCAGTACCCTTACCTCTAGAGCAGCAACTCATTCCTCCTCTGATCACTACAAAACCCAGGAACTACATCACGTTCATTCTGCCCTTCACAAGAATGGATACCCGAAAGGGTTTATTTCATCTTCTCAACGGCCACCGACTTGCACTGCTGAGCCCACCCCTGAATGGAGAGCTGTTTCTGTGTTGCCATATGTCAAGGGTGTATCGGAATCAATAAGACGCATCCTGGCTCCCTTACGTGTGAGAGTGTGTTTTCGACCGTGCCATACCCTGAGGTCCTTACTCTCGAAACCCAAGGACCAGATGCCAGCTCAGCAGACATCAGGAGTGGTGTACAAAATCCCCTGTGCGCACTGTCCATGTGTTTACATTGGTCAAACTGGTCGTAGACTCTGTCAACGCGTAACTGAACATAAGAGAGCTGTAAAACAAGCAGATTTCAATTCTTCGGCTCTGTCTGAACATGTCTGGTCGGCCGGTCACCCTGTTGACTGGGAAAATGTGTCTGTCCTGTCTAACTGCCCTGACTATCACTACAGACTAGTATGTGAGTCATTCCTGATTAGATCTACTGCACATACATTGAACAGGGACACAGGATCTTTGCCTCCGGAGTATGATAACCTTGTTTAGTTGTCTGGGTCGTTGCGTTTGCCTTCACCACTTATGTATATCTCCCTGTTCACACATTCCAAGGTTGCTATACATTTGCCTTTATATACTGCTGATTTTTTCTGGTTTGTACTGTTCACTGATGATGGTGACTGCATAGTCACCGAAACGTTTGAATATATTTTTTCAAAGTTTTTTGACTAGTGTATTAGAGTTAACTTGAAGTTATTCTCGTCATGTACACGCGGACCTGTCAACAAATGAAGTGAAGTAGCAAGGCAAACGCAAACAAATCAACTACACCCAGGACATCTCTTATTTTTTAAGAGCTGCCCTAGCCCTCATGCACGTGTAACTCTTGATCATTGTATCAGTGTGCACGGTCCAGGTCTGTGTCACAATCAGAGCGTCGGTAGACGCTCTATATATAGGGATGACACGAATGAAATCTCACGTGATCCGCGTACAAAACGTCAGCGACAATGACTCACCATGGCTTCAAAATCACTAGCAATAGTCTAGAGGCCAATACCTAGCTATACATATGCCCCAAGACTTCCTACGTGCCCTCAGTTCCCCACGAGAGAATTCGCACATACGCGATTTCGAGATTTTCGTGTCATCATAATCATCATAATAATTATTATTCTTCTTCTTCAGACCCGCTAGCTCCTTACCGGAAGCAGTTGAAGCGTTGATTTGATTTTTTCACAGAACGTCTCCAAATTTGCCGGAGGTGTGCACGCATATCAAGCGATCGCTTGTTTCTTGCCGCAAGTCACTACGGTAGATCGTTGAGCTATTCCACGGTAGTCACTGGACAACGCCATTTGCTGCTAACTCAGCATCAGTGAGCCGCATGCGCCGAGGAGGGCGTTTCCCCAATGCGGTGCGCGCGCATTACTATAGTCTCGTGCGTGAACCAGACTAAGCCAGGAGGATGCCTGCAGAGGAACTCTTATCCTCCAGTGCCTTCTGTAAGTCAGTATACACATTTTTAACTGGCTAGCTTACGTTTTGCTATTGATTTGTACGAGGAGCAACTTGGCAGTGTGCGCCGTGTTACGCGGGCCTTGCCCAGCGCCTTCATTGTTTGTCCCCCGGGTTATAGCTATCATTGTAGTCTGATTACTGAAGCCTGCCTACGAAACCACCCCGCCATATGTGCCACAACCTAATTGCATCGTTGTTGGAGACACTACGCATACACCCTGCTTCAGGTACATTAGCTTCTGCTTTCAACAGTTATCTCTACAACACCCATGAACATCAGAGTGACTGAAAATGCAGAAGGCATGAAAAATAGTGGAAACAAGTGGAAAAATCATTTCTTCAAAATGAAGGGGGATATAGGGATGCACCAAAAAGGAAGAAACAAGGGGTCATTACACAGCAAAGATGCACCAAGCTACATGACACCATCCCTATATCTTCGTGCTATACATAGTTCACAAGTAAAGTTTACTATGAGACAAAGATATAGGGATGGTGTCATGTAGCTTGGTGCATCTTTGCTGTGTAATGACCCCTTGTTTCTTCCTTTTTGGTGCATCCCTATATCCCCCTTCATTTTGAAGAAATGATTTTTCCACTTGTATAAAAAGCATTGTAGAGTCAGTCAGTGTCAGTGACCATCATTACGTCAGTTGCTTGAACGTGTCGGGAATGCAGTGCTCTGCTGTGAGCAGCGAGATTTTGCGCCTTCTCAAGGAATGTAAAGGAGTTGTAAACTTGGCATATGCATGCCTATTGTTTGGGTGTCTTTTACTTGCAAGACTGACATAGTAAACATAATTCTTAACAACAAAGACAACTTTTAAAAAGACTTTTGAATCAGTGTTCCAATAATTACTGTTAAGTTATGATGATACAGAGGTAGAAGCAGTGTTGCTGTGAAACAGAGTCAGTCTATAATTTTTACAAAAATTGAACAGAAAGTAAACACTCCTGAGTTTTATAGCGAAGTACAAGTTAATGACGGGAAGGAGAAGAAGGACAATAAAGAAAAAAGTGCCCAATAGTTGATAAATCTTTGCATCTAGAGAGCAGGACTGATCGACACCAGATCGTTGACACTGGAAATAACTACCTAGGGCCCTGATATTTTGATCAATATCTTTAATACTGAGGGAGAATGTTGAAAGTTGAACTACTCCAAAGAAAAGGTAGTACAGAAAAACCACTAAAATTTTTCGCTCTGCTGGACTTAACAGCACTTTGTTTGTTGACCTGCGAAGATATGACTGCGCATGTGCTGCAAAGGATAAGGAAAGAATGCAGTAGAGAACGCCATTTAAACCTTCAGCTCTTAGCTATATAAAACTTCAGCATGCACGCAGAGTGAGGGTGAGCTAATTGCTACTTGTGTCTGTCATGGGACTTACATCGCAAGATTCTCAACAGTTATAATTGTGGGCGTCCGAGACGGACTGGGTCGCAGAGGTAACATGCGAGGGAGCATAAAAATTTATTACATCGATTATATTATGCTCAAGTTTTATTTTGTGTGGGTACAGAGGGTTTTACACTAAGTGGATTTGATGCACAACTTCTACTTTGAGCTTCTTAGCTACCTGTCTTATTCTCCAGAGTATCAAAAGCAACAAGGTTGTTCCAATTGAGAGTATGACTGTAGTTGGAGCTATAACAGTGTAGAAGATTGCATCAACATCCCTTCCAAGGCAACCGGTAGGAGGAAATCTGGTGATCACGAATCCTCCATTGAGGGCAATGGCAAGAGGAGCGTAGACAGGGAGTATAATGGCTGCAACCAAGCATGCGATGTGAACATATCTGGTTTTATTAGTCTGGTCATAATATCTGGAGTGAAATGGAAACTGCACTTTCCAGAATATTGCACAGATGTTGAATATCCACCACAGAGCGAGATGAATGATGGCATATGTCTCTATTATGCCTGCAATACAATGTCACACAACAACTTATACCTCATTATTCCAGAACAAATTAAGGCCACAATCGTTTGCAAAGCGAGTGTTTTTCAGAAATGAGGTCCACATTACGTTACGTGCAGTGGTTGTCAGATGACGAGGTAGGCTCACTTTACTCACCAATGCCAACTAGATTCTTGTGCCCTGGCTATATATCAACATATCTTTTGCTTTTATTTATAGTTCGTATTAGCTACTGTCATTTAATGCAGCGTTTTGATCAAGCTATCATACATGAACAACTTTTAAACTTACCATTAATTTTACAGAAATCTGTTGACGATTGTAGACTCTCTATTAGGTCAGGAGAACCACAGAACAGCGTTGGCCGATCCATAAACGAAACCAGAACGATTAATTCTAGAAACAAAGTATATATGTACATAGATATACATGTGTCAAAGCACAAGTTCTGCTTAATGAGGTTATGGTAGGACAGTTTCTATGATGAACTTACCCACAATTAGAATGGAGATTGTCATGTAGAAGACCAGAATTGTTGGAAATATCATTCTAAAGTTAGCAAAAAAGTCATTAAAAGTATATATTCTGCTATTAATTACATTTACCTACGAAAAATAAGATAGTTTAAGTATATTGCTGGTGTCATTAGGATTTGAACATATTATACATACCACAACATTTACATTAGTAGTACACACAAAGTGCAGTGCTTGACTTATAGTGCTCTGTGACATACTAAAAAAAGACACCATGTGCAAGCCTACCCACACTCTCGTGATATCTAGTCCCGCATAGCAAAAAAGAATAACCTGACAATCACTGCTACAGTACCGCTTAATTATCGTATGAATCGAAAAAGAATATCCTAGCAATCACGCTTCAAAGCACCGCTTAGGAAGGGACATATTTTGGCTTGGGAGTCGACAATATCAAAGTGTTACTTCATATCGTGTGATGTGGTTTACAAAACCTGGTACTCAGCATAGCAAGGCTTTTCTTTTAAGCTGCAAATGCATGATCCTGTGGTTTTTGCATATATGCCTCAAATACAGCTAAATCTGTTCGCGTTTCACCTTGCCGCCGAATGCACTAGTCACACTGCTTAACCAAGGTTGCGTCATAATTTTGAAATATCGCGAATTTTGTGGCGTTGTATGTACCCGCGTGCGTTCCACGAGTGGTTCGCCGTGAGTTTTTCTAGTAACGACGGTTTAGTTCAAACTACAAACCTCTCATTCTGCCTTTTCCTTGTCTGGTCTCCCGCAGTAGCGGCGGGGAGAGAGGGTTTCTGCTCGCGCTCCGCTCCGCGCGTACTTAAGCGCGCAGAAACATGGACCCCGCTGATTGCCATTTTCGGTGGTCAAAGAAGCGCGTACTTTGCTTATGTGACATACCGCTATGTACGTAAGTGGGCGTTGGACGCGCTCGCAAAAGCCAGATAAATGAACCTATGCTCACTACCACGCACGCTGCTGCGCTTTGCATTCGAAATCGGTCGCTTTTTAGCTAATTACGGCAGATTTCCTACCTGCAATGTGAACGCGAATGGACTTTATTTTTTAACCAGTAAAGCACTACAGCCACTAGCCGTCAAAGATGGTTTTTCAACAGGGAGAATATCTATCTCTGTTAGAAGTAAGACTCAAGAATTACGGTTCTACAGTTTCCTGCTGGGATGCAAAATAACAATAACAACGCAATTCCACACAGCATTCCCACACAAATCTCCTGATTGTGGATCATAGTCCTCAGAGACTTTACTATTCATCATAATAGAATTGTGAACCTGTCCACATCACTCGTGGGCTTTGCAGATTGTTGTCACAGTAATACTCGTGAACAACACAATTGTTGCAGTTTGTTTCTCAATGTGGTGAAGACTTGAGAAAGAAAAAAAAAATCATCAATGCACACACAGACAAGATGTCCTGCTGCAACCTTCATCGGTCATTCAGTCCTTTCATCATTGAGAAGACCCGAGCAATCAGGTAGCATATGCTGACTGACGATTCCAACACATTTTTTCTGCCTTTTTTTTTTTTTTTTTTTTTTTTGTTTTTGTTTTTTTTTTTTTTTTGTTTTTTTTTTTTTGCGTTTTCCACTCTGGGAATTTGGCAAGTGGCATCTCTACCCTCCCTACCTCTGTCTGCTGTTGGTCGAGTAGTTCAGTATTGTATTTGCCACACAGCCCACAGTAGTACAGACACAGGAGTGGAACCAGTGCTCCCTACACTCATCACTTGGATATATGTATAAGTAAGTGCAAACATTATTTGGTCACTATGTTTTTCAATGCCTTTGATCCATTACAGCAATTGCTTGACCATGCCCTCGGTTTGTAATGCCCGTCCAGCAGACTCACCATCAGCATATGTTTTGAAGTACAGTCATACAATGACTCCAGTATACTTGTGATAGCATTCACCAGTCATGTTTCCAAAATTACGATCATGCATTTGAAGTTTTGAAAACTTTCCCCTCTCTCATTCGGTTCCTGGAAAACAAATAAACATAGGTTTGACGCGTACCTGTGGAAATCTTCGATATAGTAGGGCCCAGATTGTAGTGTCCTAAACACAGCAGGGTGACCTCCCAGGCTGATATGAAACACGTAGTTTCCAAGCATGTCTAAATATTTTAGTTTGTGTCTATCTATTGCTGAACCTGCAGGTCTGCTCCTGCTTGACCATGGTTTTCCGCTTCGCACTCTTGAAGTGCGTGGTTGAATCAATCCGTGATGCGTGCTGCGACTGCATATTGGGTGACGAGGCACATCACATTAAACAAGAAAAGATTGAGACAACGAGAAAAAATACAGACATGCATATACCAAGTAACAATACCCTGCACACGAAGCACAAACTTTGGTAGACCGTAGAAGGTATTGGTTTTTACACAGCCGAAACAATTTCATTCACACCTAAGTTTTTATTTCTCACAAATTTGCTTATGGCTAGTGAGTGGATCACTACCAACCATCCCGGATTTCCGGGATATACCGGAAATGGGTTGCATCGTATCCGGAAAATTTTAAGAAATCCGTGAAGTGCTTCGCTCCGCGCACGTCCGCGTCCGTGCGCCGTGTTGGCCTGTGCCGTCGCGCGTATTCTTCTTCTTCTTCTTCTCTTTGTAACCTCACTGAGGAGAGTAGCCCTAGGTGCGGGCGAAGATGAAGTGGAATCAGGGTAGAAGACGAGTGCGAGCGATAGACATATGGTGGAGAAATTCAATGCACGCGTGCTGCACGGGGGTGTCGTCCACCACTCGGTGCCGAGTGATGAGCGAGACGAAACGGTCGGGTCCGAGGCACGAACGGACGCAAGAGGGTGGGGCAGGTCAAATTCGCGCCACGTGCAAGGGTTAGGGCAGGGCAGTTCGCTATGAGGTGGGAGGCGTCCTCAGTTGCTGTAGTTGCAAGGGGACAGAAGTCTGTAGAGGAGGGGATTGTCTGGAAGCGACAGACGTCAGATGCTAGCCCGAGCAATTTAGCAGTAATTTCATCCTGGAGATGTTTTTTCTAGACAGCATGGGGAAGCCTAGGGTGACCTGCCAGTGAGGATAACGTTTCCCGAGACGAGAAGGAAGAAAACTGGAGAGAGGAGATGGACACATTCATCAGCGTAGACAGAAAAGTCAGAGATGGTGGTAATCCGCTGGATCTGGCCCTTCCACTGAGCTCTGGAGACTTGGCTGCTTAGGATGCTGGGGATGGATGGCAGTATCGTGCGTGTGCACATCGTGACCCTTGACCTCCATGAACTTTCAGCAGCAAGACAGTACAGAGTGAAGCCTTCAACAAGATCATCACTAACTCTTTTCCTAATACTTTGTATGTTTGTATGTGTGCTAGTGTACCTTCACTTCTTGTAGCTACCAGTCAGTTTTTGTAAAGTATTACAATCAAGGAAAATATATCATAAACAAGGAAAATAGATCATAAACAAGGAAAATAAATAACAGGCCCAATGAAAAATATCCCTGCTTATACCACGGTTGCGACATATCCACCGGTGAATATACAGGATATCCTGTGTTAATCATATCAGAATATCCGGTATAATATACAGGAAGTTATATCCGAAGCACGTTGAGTACTGTCCTAGAACTTCTCTACGACTTTCTCCTTGAACGGCCTTGTGGTGAACTGCTCGGAGTACAGAAGGTTAGCTTCGGTCTTTTCTAAGAAGAAGTAGCCAATTTAGCATGCACGAGCATCAGCGGGTAGATTACATGGTAAACCACTCGTTTCCAGGCTTATTTTCTGCCTACAATTTTTCTGGACCGCTAAATGAGGCACACTGTCCCGAATTAGCATTCAGTCTTTACACAGTAAGTTTACTCACTGCTTGACTCGGCAGAGAAGGACGACTGACCGCGGTAGTTTCTAGGCGGTTCAGAAGGCCACTCCAAGTTGTATACCGGTTTCTAGCCCGCCGCCCGCGCGCACCCCATTTCAAGAGAACGCGTCATTATTAACTACGCGCGCTGTATAATATGTACTATAATAATGGCTTTGCACTTGTCTCGTTTTGACAGTCTTCCAACTATGAATTTTTGTGGTCATATTACTAGGTGGGCTAATGACATAATGAGTAAACCCGCCCGCCCGCATCTTGACTTGAAAAGGCCCTGACCAGAAACCGGAATACAACTTGGAGTGGCCTAGCTAACCTTCTCACCTGCGTACTTTTCGCTATGGACGCCTGCAGTGGTGCAATCGTCAAAGAGAACGAGCGTTCGGTCCGATCAACCTGGCAGCTAAAATGGCGGCGGGTCCACAGCCGTGCCCAAATAATATGGTCCGAAAATGATGACGCAATCCGTTACCATGGTATAAATGACCTATACCACCTACTGCAGGTGTTTCTGCAAAACCCTTAGGAATGTGCGATAATCCCTCGGGCTGCTCCCTCGGGATTATCAACACATTCCTTCGGGTATTTGCTGCGATAACACCCTAGTAGGGGTGGTATAAGTACTACATGTTGGTATGTATGGAGTCACACTTGTGGGAAACTGTTAATAAGGTAAGTGTTGGTATTATGAGTCGGGGGGGGGTAGGTATTTTGGGTAAATATTCCAAAAAGCTGGCAAACACTGTGTAACTGCTTCCCACCGTCTGCTTCCCACACGTGCTGCGGGTTACTTTTGCGACAAAATAGCCAAAAGTCAAGAGGTCACAATGATTGCACCACTGACTCAAAGGCTTTAATTTGGGGGAGGTTTTAAATAAATGTTTTGGTCAAATTATGATTAATTTGTGGTTTTTTGCTTTTTTGTATATCTAAGTAATTATTGTGAAACACCACTGGGCAACTGTTTGCTTCATCAAAAATACATTTTAAGTCGACTCATAATACCATCACTGACTCATAATTGCTGCTTTTAGAGGGTTATAAAACAAATATTTTGCATTACCTACTGTGAATATATTCTGAAACCGATTTGATTTTTAGAATCGCCATGTCCTGATAGTCATGTAACATAAATTTCACTTTAATTCACCGGTATTTGTAGGAAAAATTGAGAAGAAAGTTTAGGTGGCTCAAAATACCAACATTTACCTTATGGAGTGTTTGTGTGACAGCACCTGACACCTAGCCATTTCGATTTGGCATTGGTTAGGTTTGCTTCACTCGCCTTTGAAGTTGGTAATTAACCTGTGTAACCGTTTCACTTGCCATTCTATTTTGAAGTGAACTGATTAATCCGTGTGACGTGGTGCAATAACTGCCTATTGTCTTGTCAAACGGCCCTGTTTGTTCTCGACAGGCAAACAGCGCTTCTGGGCATGCACCGACTTGAGTGGACATAGTAGCATTCATTGCATGAGAAAAACATCTCGTTTGACTGCTATAGCTACCATACCTTTGAAGAAGAGTCATAGTAAAACACAATTGGTAGTGAAAAGAGACCCCACACAATCACAATCATCACCAGCAGAATAGTGAACTCCAACCGCATTCTCCATTGCGAGTCTAGCAAACATGTCCTCTGCCTCCTCGTTTTACTTTGTGATGATCTTACAACTTCCGACAACTGGAATGCTTCAGTATGTTTTCCCTCCATAAAACAAGTCTTCACAGTACCCTTGGGCTCTATGAATGAGACTGCGTACAATGCCCCACTAGGCGCAGCTATAGTCGAGAAAACAACAGTCATAAACAAACACTACTTCGTGATCATTCTGTACTTATGACATTTTCACTATACATTCCAGTGCTAGTTAACCGTAGGCGCGCATGCGCAGCGAGGGTAACGGTAGTTGGTTTGTCTGAGTGTCGATGCTTATTCTGTCACTACAGGCTACGAGGCGGCCTATTAGCAATACCAGCGGCTTCAGAACTACGCGAGCTAGAAAAAAAGGGCGGTTTTCTTGAAACGACTGCGTTCGAGAGATATGCCGTGAAAACAATCGAAAAAGCCAATATGCAAAATCGCATATCCGCTCGCTCTGTGTACCTTGGGGGCTCAGGAAGTCACAACGAATGGCACGTATCGACTCCCGCATGCAATCTAGTACTGTAGCTAGCCCGTGTCAGACTCTCCGCGAGCTACTAGCGGGAGACCACGAGTAAACGCATAAAAATAGCCCAGCCCATCAATGCATGCGCTGTTCCCTGAGGGTTTGCACTTTCATTACCCTCGGCGCGCATGCGCAGCGAGTGTATATCGCAGGGAGAGATCTCTCAAAACTGACAATTGTCGAGCAATGTCGATACCTGGAAGGCACCAACTTCACAGGGGAAGTTACCACAACAGTCTCCCAAACAGAAGAGAGTCCTCACCGCCGACAAAGAGTTCCGACTAAGGGATTTTTGCACCCATCAGTCCCTTAAGCACATCGCTGTTCCCGAGCTGTCACGGCTCAAGATATGGGACATGGCTCTAGATCATGGGGCAAGAGGGACAAAGGCCGCTTTGTCCTTTTTCAAAGCTCTCTCTCGGCCATTATTCGGCGACAGACTCTGTCCACACTGTAATCTATCAATCGAACAAGATCGAACTTACCTGGAACATCTGGTACAGACCCACCAAGAACTGCAGTTAGGATCTGTGGAGGAAATAACTGATATCCTTGTATCTGCCTCCCCATCTATCATTTGTATTGGGAGAAAATTCCTCTCTTCATCCATTTTTTCTCTGCGGAAAATGCGCATGAGTTGCAGTTTTGCTCATTTTTACCTCGACCGGGTCCGCTCGCTCTGTGTACCTTGGAGGCACAAGCAGTCACAACCGAGGGCGTGTATCGACTCTTGCATGCTATCTTAATCTACTACTGTAGCTAGACTCTCCACGAGCTACCAGCGGGAAACCGCGAGTAAACGCATACTAATAGCCCATTCCAACAGCGGTAGACTACCGCGTATGGGCAGCTCGCCGAGCGACGGTTACTGTATTTACCCTCGGCGCGCATGCGCAGCGAGGGTACTGTATTTAAACCATCGGCGCGCATGCGCAGCGAGGGTTACTGTAGTTAACCCTCGGCGCGCATGCGCAGCGAGGGTTACTGTAGTTGGGTTTGTCTGTCTGTTACTCTCAATCTCACTTCTCGAGTGTTTGTTCGTCTCACAAAGGATATGATCTACTTAACGGGCAATGAAGGTGAGAAATTTCGAACGGTTTTCTCTGAAAGTGCTCCGTTGCAAAGCTAGAGCGCTTCCAGCATTGTATGGCTAATGCCGGTAGTCGCCATTTTATCGCTGGTGGATAATGCGCATGCGCTTATATTTAGCACAGGCTTACCTCGACCGGGTCCGCTTGCTCTGTCTATCTTGAAGGCACGAGAAGTCATAACGAATGGCATGTATCGACTCTCGCGTGCTATCTACTACTGTAGCTAGCCCGTGTCAGACTCTCTGTGAGCTACTTCGCCGAGGGTCTGCACTTTAGTGCTTTTCATTACCCTCGGCGCGCATGCGCAGCGAGGGTACTGTAGTTGGGTTTGTCTGTCTGTTACTCTCAATCTCACTTCTTGAATGTCTGTTCGTCTCACAAACGATACAACCTACTTAACCGGCAATGAAGGTCAGAAAATTCGAACGGTTTTCTCTGAAAATGCTCCGTTGCTAAGCTAGAGCGCTTCCAGCATTGTATGGCAAATGCCATTTTATCGTTGGCGGTTAATGCGCATGCGCTTATATTAAGCACAGGACCGGGTCCGCTTGCTCTGTCTATCTTGAAGGCACAAGAAGTCACAACGAGTGTCGTGTATCGACTATCGCGTACTATCTACAACTGTAGCTAGCCCGTGTCAGACTCTCTGCGAGCTACTTCGCCGAGGGTTTGCACTTTAGTGCTTTTCATTGGGTTTGTCTGTCTGTCTGTCTGTCTGTTACTCTCAATCTCACTTCATGGGTGTTTGTTCGTCTCACAAAGGATACGACCTACTTAACGGGCAATGAAGGTCAGAAATTTTGAACGGTTTTCTCTGAAAATGCTCCGTTGCAAAGCTAGAGCGCATCCGGCATTGTACTGCTAATGTCGGTAGACGCCATTTTATCGCTGGTGGATAATGCGCATGCGCTTATATTCAGCACAGGCTTACCTCGACCGGGTCCGCTTGTTCTGTGTATCTTGAAGGCACAATAAGGCACAACGAATGGCGTGTATCGACTCTCGCATGCTATCTATTGCTGTAGCTAGCCCGTGTCAGACTCTCTGCGAGCTACTAGCGGGAGACCGCGAGTAAACGCACACTAATAGCCCAGCCCATCAATTAGCAGTACCGCGCATTTGCAGTTCGCCGAGGGTTTGCACTTTAGTGCTTTTCATTGGGTCTGTCTGTCCGTGTGTCTGTTACTCTCAATCTCACTTCTCGAATGTCTGTTCGTCTCACAAACGATACGACCTACTTAACGGGGAATGAAGGTCTGAAAATGCTCCGTTGCAAAGCTAGAACGCTTCCAGCATTGTATGGCTAATGCCGGTAGTCTGGCGGATAATGCGCATGCGCTTATATTTAGCACAGGCTTACCTCGACGGGGTCCGCTTGCTCTGTCTATCTTGAAGGCACAAGAAGTCACAACGAATGGCGTGTATCGACTCTCGCGTGCTATCTACTACTGTAGCTAGCCCGTGTCAGACTCTCTGCGAGCTACTCACGGGAGACCCCGAGTAAGCGCATACTATACTAATAGCCCAGCCCATCCATTTTAGGGGTACCGCACATGCGCATTTCGCCGAGGGTTTGCACTTTAGTGCTTTTCATTGGGCCTGTCTGTGTGTCTGTTACTCTCAATCTCACTTCTCGGGTGTTTGTTCGTCTCACAAAGGATACGACCTACTTAACGGGCAATGAAGGTCAGAAATTTCGAACGGCTTTCTCTGAAACTGCTCCGTTTCAAAGCTAGAGCGTGAAAAAGCCAATTGCAAATACGCAACGGACGGGATGGCTTACCGCGGTCTGATCGATCCGCGTGCTCTGCGTATATACCTCGGAGGCACCAGAAGATGCAACGCAGGGCGTGTATCGCCTGAGGTATGCTATCTAGTAGTGTAGTTAACACTCTGCGCGAGCCTGCAAGTGTAAAGATGTGTAATCATCTGTCACCATATTGTCCGTGTATGATCACGAGACGTCGCGTGTGATGAGGTTGTTGAGACTGAGACCGCGTGCGTGTGAGCAAGCGGCTACCGATGTGCTAGCGAGAACCCGCTAGGCGACGGTGGGCCGTTACACAAGAGACCACGAGCAGGGGTGTCAAGAGAGAAATGGCTTGGCGCCAGGATTTTGGCGCCAGAAGCTCTTTCGATGCCAACCACGTATTCCAAGGAGTATTGTACAATGATCGTGCAGATACACACTATAATAATAGCTCTCAGTTGCGCTTGCAAAGGTGCTATATATGTGGGTGGCGCGCGCTTTTTGGCGCCGTACGCTAAGCACAGCGTTCCAGCAATCTGCCTTGTTTAGGCGACACGTGTGTTATTTCTGTATTTGTAAAATGTTTTCCAGAGGCGTGTTTTCTCCGTAATGTCCGCGGATCGCTGTAGTCGGAAATTGTGCTTGGCGCTGCTCAGGTGTACTTCGCGCTATATTTAGCGCCATAGCGCCAGTTTGACATCCCTCCACGACTAAATAATAAACCCGCCATCAATTAGTGTATCTGATTCTGCCATTCGTTTCCTACGCGTGCGTGGTCACAATGCGCCGAGGGTTTGCACTTCAGTGCTTTCATTATCTTAGTCACGCTATATACAAGAATAGGTAAAGTCCATATCAAATACCCATAATCATGTGGACGGCAGTTCCTTGAAGAAAAGTGCTTTAGAAAAGGGTAGGCAATTACAACAGATGCAGCAGTCAAGATGTACATGAAAGAGTGCAGAAGCAAACATTTTAACCCTCTATTGTATTTGTTTGTTGCCGTGACTGTCTAATAACGTAGGGACCGCAAAACTACATTAGGCAGAAACAAAAATCGGGTATATATAGCTAGGCCCTTCTTCCTGACAATAAAACTGCATGCACCAGCATTGCACAGCCATAGCTGTAGCTATCTAGCATCAACATGTCTACCAATGCACTGAAGACACCTTAACGGTAATGATCTTTTTGATGTCATCAGTGTACTGGTGTCACTCTAGTACTTTTGTTTTAAATAAAGGGGATTAGGGACATCGCATGTAGCTAGCTACATAGAGCAAGTAACATGCCACAGCCACTGACAACCACATTCACTTAATAGCTAGGTATTATGGGTGATAATATCCTGAGAGTAAAATAATATAAGAGATGCTCTCTGTGTCACTCTCTCCTTAAATGCAGATAGACATGGTCTGTTCTTTACTTCACAAATGGTTTTCTCACTGGCCTTCCAACTTGCAAACTATCCAGCAATGATTGAACCCGAAATAACGAATCAGTTGTGTGGATCGAAAAAGTTTTCACAAAAATGGACATGCTAGAACTTTGGTGCGTAAGAATTGCATAACTGATGGCCATAATACATACAATTAAGGCCCAATGCCCTCTAGCAGTATCACTCGTTTTATGTGTACTACAGCAATCATGATATGTATAACATTTGTATATACAACGACTTGAAAAATCGCTACGAATTAGC